TCTTAGCCAGATATAGCTTCACCGTATACTAGATTGGCTTCCGATTCCGAAAGAGCAGTAATTAAAAATCCTATATCTTTGTAATCAATCTAGGGAGATTCTGATTCAAAGAAGGAGGGTACTGTGGCCAAAATGCTACCTCCCTAGTCGACGCAGTTCACTGCACCTGAATGCCTTGAGTTTGGATCACATTGTGAGTTGAGAATAAAATAGGCGAAGAAAAACAGCATAAAAACTTGGATGAAGATTCACTCTAGACCTGCCTGGAACAATGACTGCTCTTGTAAAATAAGTAAATAAATTAGCAGTAAATGAATAAAATTGCAATACATTCTTGAGAATGATTGACTAGTTATTTTCCCTACTAGAAACACGAGGTAACCGCCCTGGTTTCGGGTGAAAGCGGACTGGGCTTTCGTCAGTCATATGACAGACATCGTCATATCTGGAATTCATTCCTACAAAAGCTTCAGGATAACACCAGGTAAAGAAGACTATCCGGCTCTATCCTACATGTTAAACTTACTCAACTGAAACGGAAAATATAAAGCTATAGATATATCTAGAGTGAATTCGTTAGTTCTCTTTCATATTAGTAAAGATAGTCATACTTGTGTGTGTATGTGCCTTTGGGCGTGGACGTGTGCTAACATCTGTATGCACATTGAAACCCACACACACATACACACAAATATTAGTAACTTGCGTAATATGAAAGAGAACCGCGAAAGCATTTAAAAATCATTTACATCTTAATATTTTCCTTTTTAGTTAGAAATATAAACACCATGTAGGATAGAATAGGCTAATCTTATTGGCTTAGTGTTAACTTGAAACATTTACAAGGATGAGTTAGTCATATGACAGATGAAAGCTTAGCTTGTCAGCATCAAAATCAAGGGAGGGTATCTTGCGGAATGCGTCAAACTGAACGATGTATTAAACTCAAACGGGAATCAGCTGTCGTCTGGTGAGATCAACCAACTTATCTTTTCATCATGCACTTTTACATGCAGTAGGAGTCTTCACAACAAGATTGAACTTCACTTAGCCTTGCTTGCAAAAGGTACTAAC